GAAATATTTCCGTCAAATTTTAATTTCCGTTCCATTTTTAATTAAAATGCAATGCTGTAACCATTTATTTTTTTTCATATTAATCAATTATGGATCGTTGTTTATTTGCAGTCAACTATTAGTATTCATTTTTTTTATATTTTCAGTCAATTTGTAATGTCATATTCATTTTCAGTCAATTACTCTTTTTTATTTTCAGTCAATTAGAATATCAGATGCAGTGATATTTTTACATAATTTTCGTTTCAATTTTAATTGATGATGTAGAATATTAATTATTATTGAAATATTTCCATTTTATTTTTAATTTTCGTTGTATTTTTAATTTACCTTTAGTATTGTTTAAAATATGCTTTACTATTGATGATGCAGAATATTATTATTTAAATATTTCCTTTTCATTTTTAATTTTACTTTTACTTGATGATGTAGAATATTATTATTAACATATTTTCATTCCATTTTTAATTTCCATTTCATTGTTTAAATTATGGAAAGATTTATGACATAATTGTGATTTGATGTATTATACTATATAATATTATTGTGAAAAATTAAAATTCAATGATCTGACCATTTCCTTTCCATTTTAGTCTATTATGGATCATTTTTTATTTTCAGTCAATTATTAATATTCATTTCCTTTTCCAATTAACCTAACTTCAATTCCATTTTTTCATTTTTAATTTTCAGTGAATTATTAATATTCATTTCTTTTTCCAATTTACCTAATTTTCATCCATTTTTAATTGATGGTGTAGAATATTATTGTGAAATATTTATGTTCCTTTTTTCATTCTTTTTTAAATTTACCTTTACTATTTGCTATTGTTTGTGCAGGAAATCAAGTAAATAGAATTTTGTTTAATTTTAATTATAGTATAGATTTGACCGTGAGGTTGTAGCGCATATATATATATATATATATATATATATATATATATATATATATATGTATATATATATATATATATATATATATATATATATATATATATATAGAAATCGGTTCTCGTGCGGGTGAATGTTTCAGGTGCAGTTGTGCGGTTTAATCTGAGTCATTCATCTCGCTTAAATCAACGTCCAATATTACCAAAATTAAAAAAAAAAAAACGCGGTGGCAATTTTATAATTTTTGCATCTAGGTCAAAATTATGGTGAGTGATTTTGTGATTAATGTGCGTGAGTTTTGTATATAAAGTGCGTGAGTCTTGTGCGTAAGGTGCGTGGGCCTTTGCTTAATGTGAGTAGTTGTTAAAACTTAAAGTGTGAGTTTTTGTGCTTAAGGTGCGTGAGATTTGTTCTTAAGGTGAGTTGAGTTTGTGCTTAATGTGCGTGGGGTTAGTGATTAATGTTAGTAGCTGTTGAAATTTAAAGTCTGTGAGTTAATACTTAAAGTGCGTGAGATTTGTGTTTAATGTGCGTGGATTTTGTACTTAATGTGCGTGAGTTTCTGCTTAATGTGAGACATTTTAAAATCTTAAGTGTGTGAGTTTTGTGCTCAATGTGCTTGTTATGTGCTTAATGTGCGTGATTTTTGTACTTAAGGTGAGTGATTTGTGTTCTTAAGGTATTTTGTTTGTGGACTCAAGGTGCGTGGTGATTTGTGTACTTAAGGTGTGCCATGTTAATGCTTAAGGTGCGTCCAACCGCACAATCGCACTACCGCACGGGAAGCATCAACCGCACTTGAACCCTTCCCTATATATATATATATATATATATATATATATATATATATATATATATGAATTGGTTATATTATAAATTGTTTAAATTGGTTATATAGGGCATTATGTTAGTACATGAGAGCATTGGATATGGAAACAATATTATCAAGATTTTAGTTAATTTCTATTTTACATTTGCTTACAAAGTAAGTTGTATTATATTAGTTGGTGATAAACATCCACAAATTCTACACAGTAATACCATATATAATATTACCAATTATGCTATTATGTTATTACCTAATTAATTAATGTCTTTTCTACACGGTATTATAAATACGTAAAAAGAATACAGAGAATTTGCAAAAAATAATGTTATGAAAAATATTATTATATTATAGAATATAACTAATATGTCTTTTCTATATGGTGTTATGTTATTACGTTAATAAGTGAATATGGAAATCATATTACCAAGATTTTAGTTAATATCCATTTTACATTTGCTTACATAATAAGCTTTATTAATTTAGTTGGTGAAAATATAGCTACGCATGAAAGATGAATTCAATCTAAAAATGGCAGTTTATAGTTCTATATGTGCACATGCACACATGTTGAAGGCTCAAAAGAATCTTCCAGAAGTGTAATTTTTTTTTTTACTAAAGATAAGTACAATTTCAATTAATATATACTTTACCAATAATATTAATTCCTATTTTCTACTATATTATAATTCCCTTTACTATTGTATGTGAAGCATTTATTTTTTTAAGTTATACGAAAGAAACTGTGATTACAGAGAGGAAAATTATAGTGAGGGGTGTGAGATCTGATAGGAATATTTTTGTAATAATGTTTTGATGAGCCAAATGTACTTTAGATCCTCTTAGAATTTAGGTCTTTAGTACAAGCATAATAATTCAGAATATCAAGTCAGTATGCAAAGGAAAATCTACCACATGAAGAACAAAATTAAGTTGGAGAATTAATTTTGGTCCTACAAGTATTCATTCGGGAAAAAAGGACTAAACATTGGCGTTACAACAAATGATCGGATGAGCCTAACGGCGAAATGGTAGAAGTCCTTAAATACCTTTTGAACTCTTGGAATTTTGATCAAAAGATGTTCTTGACTTTCTTGTCACATTGTTGTTTCGTTTTGCCGTTCTGTTTGAATTCGTCGTACCCAAGCTTCGGGGACGAAGCTTCTTTTAAGGGAGAGAGGATGTGACACCCTGTAAATCCAAAATCTATTTAAGGATTAATTAGATAATTAATCTAGCTTAATTGGTAATTTATTCCTAAAATCCTAAAAATTCAATAGTCGGAGGACTAGAAATTGACTAGTCAATCCAAGTCAAAGAGTTGTACTCTATGCTTTATGAATTGTTCCCTTGTCTCCTTACTCTTCCCACTTTAGTAAGGGCAAAAAAGTATTTTCACCTTATGTTTGTGCCCCAAGCTAACCTAGACTCATCCTTCATTTCATTTCCCTAACACCCTAAACACAAAAGCTCCACCTTATCTCTAGAAAATTGTTAGCCTCTTCTTTAAGCCAAGTTTTGGGCAATCCTAGATTCTTCAAGTTGGTCTCCAAGATTCATACTTTCTTAAGCTTGAGCATAAGGGAGTGTAAGATCCTTGGTCCCTTAGTGTTTTTAGTATCTTTTTAGGTGTCTTTTTCTAAAGATGGAATCTTTGTTGTCTTTTGGTGTGTTCTTGAAGTTGGAGTTGAAGGAGAGCCTTAAGAGAAGCTTTTTGGGTGTGAAAAGTGAAGGTTTAGGCTACAAGAGGTAACCCATGCTTTACAAAATCTATTTTCTTACATATATAATAATTTCTTGACTTCTACATGTGATTTTTGCTATAAAATGTGAGTTTTGATGCATTGTCTTGTGAGAATGCATATCTAGAGCTTGTTATTAGGATTCTTGTATGCCATTGCTTGGCTATTTCTTGGATTCAAGTCATATTGTTGTATTTCGTAAGATTTTGGGTGTTTTGGACTTGAATTTGGAATTGTTGTTGAAAATCCCCGAAGGGATTATTTGTGGTACAGGAGTGTACCCGCGAGCGGAACGACGGGCAGAGCTCCACCCGCCGCCCCACCGGCGGGGTACATGGCTTGTGGTGTCGGATTGTAATCCTTCCTTGATTGAGTATGGTTTCATATCTTTGTTGTGATCCATTGATTGATTCCTGTGATGAAAATGTGTGTATTGGTTGTACCTTGATTGCACGATTAATGGTATGGGACATTAATCACCAAGGTACAGATGTGGTCCTTGTGGTGGCCATGAATTGAGTTTGGTGGTTTGTTATTTGAGCTTTGCTCATGAGTTTGGCGGTTTTGTGACTTGATATTGCACGGTACCCTTGTGTACTGAGCGTTCAGCGATATTGATTGGCGGTTGTTGGAGGGGGGAACGACGGTTCCCGGAGGCAAAAGGTTGGACTTGGAAGTACAGGGTGGCACTCGAAAGTAAAGGTTGGAACCGTAATAAGGCCGGGGGTAGCCATAAGGTTGGAACAGGTCATAAGGTTGGAACTTGGAACTTGAAAGTGTATTCTTGTGATATGAAGTGTCACTGTGGCATGTAGTTTCCAATGATTGAATGTCTATTCTTTGTTAATGAGCATGTCAAGTGGTATTCTACTTTGTGATCAGTAGAATACGCCTCGAGTTGTATTTGGTTGTTGTTGTTGTTCTTGTCTTGTTGTCGTTTTGGGACGTTGATTTCCCTTGTTCTTTTGAGAGTGAAATAGAGTCTTTGCAGTTGACTTCTCTCTATGTCTTTTGAACTGATATATACTGTATTCCGTTTCGAAAATGGTTTTGTTCTATACTATCTATATATGCTACTTAACGCGTATTGATGGGTTACCAGCAATATTCGCTGACCGGGCGTCGTCCCTTTCCTTTATGTTGCTTTACAGGTCCTGAGTAGCTTATGGCGAGTGCGCTAGCTGTTAGTTGTAGTGTAGCTCCCTTGGACTTAGTATATAGTGTTTTGGGCCTGTGTGCCGTGGTTATGTTAAACATGATAGACTGTTGGTTTTAGACTTGCCTGTGCATCCACGTTGAGGTGGATGTGGCATAGCACTTCCTGTTTTCACGTTTTTAATTAAAGTCTTTCGTTGTTTCTTACGTTTTATATTACCTATTAGTTACCTTGCCTTACGTAATTAAGTTTTTAAAATGTCGTGAAAATCGGGGGTGTTACAAATGGTGTTCCTGTGTACACATCTTCCGGTCTGGCTGAGAGCCTAGACCATATTCGTCACTTTGCGGGATTACCCTCTGTTTTAGTACCTGAGCCCTAAAAAATGATACAACTAAGGCATGATCCTCCTATTCCAACAGACAGTGACGATGAAAAAATTCTGGCTGAAGTCTATGGTTCAAAGGCGCCATCCTCTGATCCAACTGAGTCTCTTTCAGTGGCAGAGACAGCACACCCAGATTCTACATCCTTCAAAATCAGAGAAGTCACCAAGCTTCTAGCATCCTCTACTGTCCATGGGTCTGAGACCAGCAATTCTGTATCTCCGAGTCCTACAAAGAGCTCACCTGTCAGAGAAAGTTGAAAGTCCAAGAGGACAGGAGTTCCAGAGAAAGTTGCTGTGGATGCTGGTGCTGAGCCCACAAAGTCTACCCAGCCAGAGAAGAGAAGAAGATCGGTTGATACAGAGAAAGCTGAAAGTGATCCGCTAGTCAGACAAGTTTTTAAGACCCTGCGGTCTTCTGTTAAAAGTAAAGCTCCTACGGTTGTTTCATCAACAACAAGCAGAAAAATGAAAGTTGCTTCAAAGCCAAGAGGAAGGAGTGTTACTCCTGATGTGCAGAATGCTCCTATTGTCGTCCTAGAGAGTCCTGATACTTCTGTCTACAAGCCACAGTTTGTTTCTGATGCTGCCAAAGACAAGTGTTCTACGATGGTGAAGAGAGAACTGATTGTCCAAAGATCAGTTGATGAGAATCAGCTGAATTCAGTTTGTGATGTATTGCCCCTTCTGAGTGAGGTTGGTCTGCTGAAGACAGTGACATCTGTTTGTTGTTACTCGAAGTTGCTGACTTATGAATTCTACTACAACCTAAATGAAGAGGTTGACAATCTTACTAGCGAGAGGTGCATGCAAATCTTCATTCGGGGTAAGTGGTATGTGTTTGGACCGGATATGATCAATCAGTATTATGGGTTGAAGACAGTTGAGGAAGACGAAATTTCTGACTGGGATTTGGTTGCTAAGACCCTGACTAGAGGACTGGCACCTATATGGCCAACTGGTGATAATGATACCTTGTCCAGCTCTCAATTCACCTCTAAGTTTGTTATCCTACACCAGATTGCTTTGCACAACTGGCTGCCATCTGCGCATTTTCATACAGTCAGCAAGCCTCTAGCTGCTCTTCTGTTTCGAGTTGGCACCAAGATGACCATTGATTTAGAGAAATGGATCTTCTATCATATTCTCACATTGATACATCCTAGGGAATAGAAGGTAAAGCTTCCATATCCCAATCTTATCTTTGGTGTGCTAACTTAATGTGGCTCGCACTGAGCTTGCAACTATTCTACTCCGATTGAGCCTTTCTGAGTCTGCTGCTGGTGAAGCTTTGAAGTCTGACAGTGGAGGTCCCTCTAATGTTTAACGAGTCCTTTGTCTATCATTCGCAAAAAGGGGGAGTACTATACTCAGGGGGAGTATTTTCTGATTGTGATGGTGGTTGAAGTACCTTCTGGCCCTGTCTAGGCGTGTTTTTTGTGAAGAAATGGTCTGATCTATGTCTTTATCCAGCACGGGTTGTGTGCTGTTGTTTTTATGGGTTGTAATCAAACAATATTTTCTTTTGCTATAACTGTTGCCAGTACTGGCCCATTTATTATGCTTTTCTCTATCTTTAATTGAGATATTTCATCTTTAGTTGAGTTGTTTTGCCAAATAATAGCCAAAGGGGGAATTTGTTAATGTTTTACTTCTGTACGAAAAACCCCAACATATAATTGGCAATATTATTATGGCAAATTAAGATAGAGTCCAGGTTGATGTCTGCTTTTGTCTCTGAAGATGACTGATTGATCAGTGCAACCTACAGACGCGCCGCTGGATCAAGCCACCGAAGATATGATAAAGGAAAGTTTCTAAAACATGGAACGCGGTTATGAGATGATAGTTTTGGAAAGAATATCAGCGAATCAGCTTAAGAGGTATGGACCGAATCTTAAGATTTCTTTCTTCACAAAAAGTCCTACCATCTATGATCAGAGATATATTTGGAAAGTGTCCAAATCAAAGAAGTATATATATTCTTATTCGCTCAAAAGTTAGGGTTGCATTGATTGAAGCCGCAACACTCTATACTAAACCGAAGACACATCTCTTGTTGTCATGCCTTTTCTTAAGACAATAAGTTTTTGGTGATTATGAAGAAGAACTTGAGAAGTATCAACGTTTCTTAAACGATAGGACGCGAAGATCACTCAGTTGTGGGAACAACGTGGGACTGCGTCATTGAAGCGGACTGCATTAGAGTTAGCTCTCCAATTGAAGGGATTTCATTGGACTTCTGCATGCGTGGCTCTCCGACTTCAAAAATCCACTAAACCTTTGTAGACTGGGTACTGACCTTGTGTGGGGCATTTGGGTGAGATTGTTTTTTCTCAACCTTTGTACATTGGATTATGAGTTAGTGGATTAGACGCATCGGTGATCGTCCCCCAGATGTAGATACACATTGTATCGAACTGGGTAAACAAACATATGTGTTGATTTACTTTCGGCATCAGTCTTCCGCTTTACGCTTTATTTGCCGTTCTATCTGAATGACTGATCAACCGAGAATTTGAGTCAGTCAGTCCTTTATTCAGTTTGCTAGAAACAAAATCAATATCCAGATTAAGAGAATATGCAAAATTACAGTAGTGTTATTGTTATGCAAGTATAAGGATATTAAGATGTTTTTTTGCTATTAGTTATAACTTTTGCTTCAGTAGTAAACACTTGTTCCTAACATAATACTTAAATGAATTCTTCATTTCGTATATGGTGTGACAATCAGGCAGCTCTCCATATTGCAGCCAATCCTGTCTTCCACGAACAAACCAAACACATTGAAGTTGATTGTCATTTCATCGTGATAAGGTACAACGAGGCTTAATCTCAATAGGGTTTGTGAAGAAATGAGAACAATTATAATAACTTTTTACAAAAGCCATGAATGGCCGCGAGTAGATTACTTATGTAACAAGTTGGGCATTATATGGTAGGATTATATTCAGCATGATCTTAGGGATTCTGTGTATATTCTTAGAGATCTATTTTCGATCCTTATCTTAGTTAGTTAGTATATTCTTGTATAAATATGTGTATTCTTTTGACTGAAATATGTGAAAATATTATGGAGTTTAACAAATATATATTTTAAATTAGGTGTGCCGTTTCATCAATGCTCAATGCATAATTCAAATTAATTGACCAAAGTTCATGTTAAATTTTATATTGTATTTTTTTTAATACCCTCTAACATATTCATAGTATATGTTTAACAATTATGTCAATTTTGATTGGGACGGGATTCGAACCTAAGACTTCCCTTATGAAAATCAATGAGTAACATAAGAATAATAAATAGTTAACGGAAAATTCCGTTACTAGAGTTTACACTGATTCAATGCAGAGGGTAAGTAGGAAAAATAATAAAAATAAAAAAATAAAAAAATATGAACAATTAATTTCAACAAACAATTACACCAACATTTTTTAGTTCACGTTAGGGCCTAACTTTATTGGATCTTAGCTACACAAGAATAATTAGTAATGAGTTGGGATGGTTGAGTTGGTTTAAGGTGCCAAATTAAGGTTTTGGCCCGAAAGGGTGTGGGTTCAAATCCCACTCTGCCTTTTAATATAATTACAATATGATATGGTTTTTAAGACCTTTTTGGCCCATACAACTTATCTTAATAGAATTTTCACCCATAATTTTTAAAATTAAAAATATAATACATTTTTGCCCTAATATTAATATATATTATAATTTTCCTGCACTTTTATTTTTTAAAATTAAAAATGTAATCTATAATATAATTTTTCCCTAAAATTGGTGTTGATTAATAATAAATCAATATACTACAAATTAAATTTCATTCATCTACTATATTAATAAGAAGTAGTTACCACACAGGCATTGTACGAATTTTCCAATGCGCAATGTGTATTTTTAAATTAGTGTTTCATAATTTATTAAAATATCATTCGGTATCCTTGCGTATATCAACTTAAGATTATCAAATTTTTCAAAAATGTAAATATTTCAATAATGCATAACTATGACGCATAATTTTTCATAAAATTAACTGGTGCAATAGCAGTTTTAGAGGGAAAAGACCCTGACTCGATAGTACAGAAGCATAATTTTTGCAACAGAAAACCCTATTAATTGGCGTGATCCATGTTTCCTCTTGTTGCCACACCCGCCATAAATGAATTCTTGATTTCATCTAGTCCCCTGGTGTGCTTCACTGCAATTTTAGCGTCTTGGCACGGTGCACCTTAAAAAACATAACCAAATCCCACTTCCCCAAAAAGACAATGATAATAGGCATTGTTTCTCATCTGTGTTGAATATTGATAGTATAAATTCCACATAATGCGGTCAAGATACTAATAAGACCAAGCAAAAGCAAATAAAGACTTTCTTTGATCAAAGAAGGACCTAATACAATCTAAATGACTATCCCGAGGGCCGACTGACTACGGTCGGGCAGCTCTGTAGATAGTCTATCGATCGTTCCAAAAGTCCATCACACTGTAGTCACCGCGGGTATTTATAGCCGCTGCCGGAGACACAATTCCGGCCGGCCGGCATGTAACCCACGTGTCTTCACCCAGCGGGCCCTGCCTGTCAACGTGTAACGTTGACACGTACTTCTTCTCGGATCTCTCGTTCAAGGGCTATCAGTCGGGTGTTGAAGACTTTGGTCGGGAGATGTGCCGGTCGGGTCCGACCGACTTCCTTCAGGAATATCCGACCTGTAAACCTGCACAAACAACAAGAAAACACGTGGCATGTCGGTCGGGATATACCCTACCAAAAGCCCCCCCAGCCCAGGCCTTTTTAACCACTCGGGGAAAAACGGGACGGGATGAAAAGGTCCAATCACCCGCCGCTAAAACCGACCGGACAGCTGGCGCTTGTCGTGCCACGTGTCAGCTTTTGCGCGCCTCGGAGTCTGTAACGGTCACCTCGCGCAAGTGAACTCCTACCACCTGTGAAAGTCGATCGGAGCATCTCGAGCAACCAACACTAAACAGCGATCGAGCTAAAAACTCTAAGCCTCTTCAGCGAACATTAACTGATCGGTAAGCTCTCGCCTCTTTAGCTTTTCCTTTTCCCGCTTTTACACTAACTCATAACAGCCGACTATGGGCCTTAACTAACCACGACTGGACCATACCCGACCCCTTAACTGAAATCCTGACCGCGCTTTAGGAGAAGATAATGTCAGACTCGGACAGTCAGAACATCTCGGGCGCGGACTACGACGACGCGGTCGTGCAGCTCAGCGAAGAAGTCGAAATAGAGGCGTCTTCATCAGAAGTCGTCGAGGTCGTCCAACGACCACGGAAAGCACCCGGGCGACAAAGTTCGTCTAGCTCAGAAGGCTCATCTAGCTCGAGCGGGTCGAGCGGTTCAGGCAGCGATAGCGGCGACACCGCCACGAGCGGGCGCGTTCCCCAGTTGAAGCCGCTCGAGAAGCACCGACACGGGTTATCGGGGAGTACCCCCAGGTTACCACTCCGGCAAACGATCGGGCAGTCACGCCGGACCCGGCTGAAGAAGACCCGGCCGCGCCGGCCGCCGATACAGGACTCGTTTTCCTGAACAGCGAAAGCATCAAGCAGCAGGAGTGTTTGCTGACGACCGGGGAAGCGGCAAGGATTGCCGCAAGGCTCAACGGTCGGGTTCAGTTCGATACCTGACGGCATCTGGGGAACGTAATAGAACGTCACCAGGGGAAGTGGATCGGGATGCACTACGACTCGCTGCAGGCCTCGATCACATTCCCCTTCTCCGCTCTCCTGACCGCGTTCCTGGGCTACTATCAAGTACTTCCCGCCCAGATATGCCCGAACGCGCATCGGATTTTGGCGTGCTTCCCGCAAATCTGCGCTCAGCACGAGGTGGCGTGCTCGATGGATAGGGGTGGGAATAGGCCAGGCCCCTACACAGGGGCCTATGGCCTGGCCTGGCCTGTTTAGTTAAAATGCCAGGCCTAGGCCTAGTTAATAGCGTATTTATTTAAATAGGCTCAGGCCTATATGTGAAGGCCTAGCCTACGAGCCTGCAGGCCTAGCCTGTTTATGTATATAATATATATAAAATATATATTTAATATTAATTATTTTATATTATATTTTATAACTAATATTTTGTAATAATTACAATATAACCCAATATATAAGTATAAATTCAATAAGATCTGATAACCCTAGGACTGCCTGTCAGCGTTTGTGGCTTTGTTGGCTTGTCGTGTACTCGTTTCTTCCCCAAAATTCGAAATCTTTGAATCGACTACAAGTCTACAAATCCTACAATAAACAAGACCGTCTCGACTCCGGTGAGGCTGCAGGCGGTGAAGCGGCGCAGAGAGGCTCCGAGCGGCGAGGCGGCGAGCGGAGTTGGACAACTCGTAACTGCTTTTCTGCCATCTTCTTGGTGGCGACCGGCGACATGCGAGGTTAGTGAAGTTAGTGTAGTTTTCTTAATATACGTTTATATGTTTAATTGTTTATTGAAGTAGTAACTAGTACAGTTTGTGCTATCTGCGTTTCATCCCATGTTTATTGAAGTAGTAACTCAGATAGTTTGAGTGGCTGGAGTTGTTGTCTGAGTTTGTGACCTATCACGTAATAATAAAAACCAGAAACATGAACCCATACACTGATACACGTACTAAACCTGTTGAAAACAAAGATCAAAGCTAATTAAAGGACACAGCGAATCACTAATAAATTAATGTTGCTTTAATTGCAATGTGAACTTGTAATGAGTAGTGATTATATCTAGTCAATAAATTAATTGACAGCAGTGATTATTTAGTTTAGATAAATAAATAAATAAATAAATATACATACATACATACATACATACATACATACATACATACATACATACATACATACATACATACATACATACATACATACATACATACATACATACATATATATATATATATATATATATATATATATATATATATATATATATGCAGAAAGAACTGTAATGAGCAAAAAACTTCACTAATAAATTAATTAGTTATGCACTAGTTGTTTATTGTTAAATGGTATGCACTAATTGTTTATTGTTTATTCTAAGTTCTAACTTATTAGTTATGCACTTCTATTTAGTAATAAATTAATTAGTAATATAAACTGTTTAGTAATAAATTGATTACTAATAATTACTAATAGTGACTAGTCCTATTTAGTATAATCTTTATTAATAAATTAATAATGTAGTCCATACTTGTTTATAGTAATAAATTAATTATGTTTAGTTGTTTATAATAATTAATATTAGATACTTAGATGTTAGTTTGTTTATGTGTTTTGATGACTGAATATTTATAAAACTATATAGGATGACAAGTAACAATACAAATGAATCTATTCCTGAAGAAGTGAATGTGCAAGTTACAACTACAACTCCATCAATTTCTTCAAGTCAATCAATTGAAAGTAACAATTCAGAAGAAGTCAATAGGGTTGATAATGATTCAATCTTAACAAAAAAGCGGAAAAAAACATCTCCGGTATGGAATGATTTTGAAGAAATTCAACTTGCTAATGGTACAAAGATGAGAGAGATTATTGCTAGTTGAGAGAAATTCAATTTTGAACAACTTGCTAGTTGTAATCCCTTTATTGTTCCTAATGCTAAATACTGCAATGAAAAGATGAGAGAGATTATTGCTAGTGGAATTATGGTGCATGAGCGACCATTTAGCATCGTAGATGATGACATGTTCCTGTGGGCTTTTGAATATGCAAATCCAAATTTTAGAAGAGTCAGTCGTAAAACAGCAAGAAGTGATTGTTTGCAATTGTATGAAGCTGAAAAGAATACTTTGAAAAAGATTTTGAATAATGTGAGTAAGGTTAGCATTACAACAGACATGTGGAAGTCACATCACCAAGTCGTTGAGTACATGGTTGTGACAGGTCATTTTGTTGATGCAAGTTTGAACCTTCAGAAGAGAGTTTTGAATTTTGTCAAAGTGCCTCCTCCTCGACGAGGAACAGATATAGCAAATGCTATTTTCAAGTGTTTGAGAGGATGGGGCATTGAGAATAAAATATTCTCAGTAACTGTTGACAATGCATCTTACAATGACTCTTATGTTAGAAGTTTGAAAGAAAACATGTCATTGAGCAGTAAGTTAGTACTTGATGGTCAACTTTTTCATGTTAGATGTTGTGCTCACATTCTGAATTTGTTGGTGCAAGATGGCCTTAACACTATTAAAGATGTCATTCACAATGTTCGTGAAAGTGTGAAATTTATAAATTCTTCAGATGCAAGGCTAAAGTCATTCCATGAAGTTATTGAATTAAAAGGATTGAAAGAAAGGAAACTTATTCTTGATTGTCCAACAAGATGGAACTCCACATTCTTGATGTTGTGTACTGCAAGTAAATTTAAGCATGCATTTTCAGATTACAATGAAAAAGAGCCACATTATAAGTATGCACCATCATTTGAGGATTGGGACAAGATTGAGAAGGTTTGTAAACTTTTGGACGTTTTTAATGATGCCACTCATGTCATCTCAGGTAGTGATTACCCTACTTCTAACTTGTATCTTGCTGAAATTCAAAGGGTGAAAAAGGTTATTGATAATGCAGCTGAGTGTTTTGACATGTTTATGCGTGAGATGGCAAAACCTATGAAAGCAAAATTTGACAAATATTGGGGGGAATGTAATTTGTTAATGTCTATTGCATGTGTTTTAGATCCAAGGATGAAATTAAATGGTATTAAGATAACTTTCCCCTTATTGTGTAAAACACCAAGTGATGTTGAAAAGAATGTGGAGAAGGTGAAAAATGCATTACAAGATTTATATCTTGATTATGTGAACTTGTATAGTCAAGATGCTTCTTCTACTAGTGGACATAGTGAAGTCAATGTTGAAAGCAGCACTCTAGTTGATGGTGGACAACAAATGGATAAAGGGATGGAAGAATTATTGAGTATGGTCTACCAAAGTCAATCAATTCCTCTTACAAAATCAGAGTTGGAGACATATCTTGAGGAAAATCTTTTTATTCCTTCTTCTACTTTATCCTTTTGTGCCTTGGCGTGGTGGAAAAATAATAGTCCAAAGTTCAAAGTTTTATCAAAGATGGCTTCTGATATACTAGGTGTTACTATTTCAAGTGTGGCATCTGAATCCACATTTAGTGCTGGAGGAAGAGTCATTGATGAATATCGTGCAAGCTTAAATGAGGAATCTATTGAAGCTCTTATTTGTGGTGGGGATTGACTTCGTAACAAGTACGGGCTGAAGAAAAAACAAAAGGTAAGAACGTACTTGTTACTTTAATATTTTATATAATTTTATAGTACTACTTGTTACTTTAATTATGAGCACTTGAACTTGTAATTGACTTCATTATTTATTCTCAATTTTTTTTCATTGTGTAGGGAGATTCTGGACAACAGGAGATTATGTTGAAGCCATGACTTGTTTTATTTTATGTTTGAATACTATTGTTGTTATTATGTTTAATGTTTCATGTTTGTATTGTGGACTTATGAGTTCTGGTGTTGTTAAATTTGTGAGTTGTGAATTTGTGATGGACTTTTGTATTATGGACTTGTAGACTTGAAGTTATCAAACTTGTATGGTTTTTGTATTATTAACTCCTACTTATTAAACTTGTACGTGTTGTTTGACATTTTATTATAAAATATGAACTTGGTTTTGTCATTTATGATTATTGATTGATTCACTTGATTGTAACTTAATAATATGATTATTTTTTACAGGTATATTCGTATATATAATCTATTAAAAGGCTTTAAATAGGCTTTGAGCCTATTTAAATAGGCTTAAAGCCTATTTAGAACCTATTTTGAAGCCTTTTTAAAAGCCTTTTTACTAAATCGGCTTTTAAAAAGGCTTCAGGCCAGGCCAGGCTTACTGCAGGCTCAGGCTTGAGCAAAAAAAAAGCCTACATATAGGCCTAGGCCCAGGCCCAGGCTTTAGGTTTTCCTAACAGGCCCAGGCCTAATTTTAAAAAGCCTGGCTCGGCCTGGCCTATTTCCACCCCTATCGATGGAGCTCTTCAACTTCATCTATCAAGTGAAGACGCTAGCACCAAAATATGGAGGCAGCTTCTTGATGATCCAATCCCGGGCGGATCTGTGCAAGATCAACAACTTACCCGGGAACAACAAAGGCTAGAAGAATCGCATCTTCTCGGTCAAGTATGACCCATGGATTCTCCCGGTTGAGAGGACGTGGAGTACACACTACCGGAAGCAAGTGACTCCAGTCGAGACCCAGGCCCTCCGGGACGCTACCTTCCAGATCTCTAGTGAGATCCACGAGTACAAGATCTTCCGGTCGAGGGAGAGCTACGACGAGGCCCGTCTGCCACCGCCGCGATACGGCCTGGAAGAGAAGTATAAACCCGAGCCAACAGGCGTAACGATCGCAATGGCAGCTGCTCGGGTCGAGCCGGCGAATGAAGGTCTAACGCTAACCACACATCCCCGACCCTAACTCCCCGATCACATTCTGATCCTATTCTAACAGTTCACTTTGTTTGCAGAAATGGGACCACTGCGCAACTTCGACGGGACAGCTGCACCCCGAGCCCCCTGAGCCAAGATTGTGCTCGGGAAGAAGAAAGCAGATGCCGGGTCGTCCGACGACAAGGAGGTGGGGGGCAAGTCCAACCCGGACACTCGCCCAGTAGGCACAACAACGATCACCACGTCCGAAGGGGGCGTGGTCAAGATATCCGACACACTCATCTCCCGGACGACCGCCAAAAAGGGCAAGGAAAAGGTGGTCGGGAAGGACCCCGAGGACGGCGCCGCGTTGATGCGGCGAAGGAAGCAGGGCAGCCCGAGCCCCCCGGTCGGGACTATCATGGGGGATGATTCCAACCTCACGCAGATCGGCAACCTCCGGCCGGTCAAAGAGGACCTCACGAAGATGACCCCTAGGCAGGTGGCCGAGAAGATCGGCCAGGAGCTGGTCGAGGTAAGAGCTTCTTTCTCTTCAACTCTCCTTAACTGTTGTCACTCGAGCTAACACGTTTCTCTCCGCAGCTATCCCGAGCGGCTCAAATTCTTTAGCGCCGAGCGCTATTGGCCAACGAGGCCGATGCTCTAAAGAATGTCGCTGACCGGCAATCGGTGGAAATCTCCGAACTCCAGGCCGAGCAGAAGGCAAAGGGAACCCAGGAGATCGCTGAAAAGGCCGCCCGGGAGGCGCTAGGGGAAGCTGCGGAGCTCAAAGCCCGATTGGGCAATCTTGGTGGCCTAGCGAGGTTCCTCTGCCGGGACGAAGCGTCGGCCGAGAAGTTCTTCCGCGAGCTGAGAAAGAACAAGATCGGGGAAGAAATGATCTGGACTTTTGGGCATTGGGCCTTTAAGTCCGGTCAGAAGAAGATGCGTGATGAGACCCGGTCGATCATGGAAGAGGTCCTCGAAGGTGACGACCTTCAACTGGTCCTGACGACCTTTCCCGATGAGGTCCCCGATCCCAGCCTGTCTCCCTTTGGCCCTGAGGAGACAGCTGAACCGAGCGGCACCGCGGAGAAGTAGATAAGGTCGTGTAGCTTCCGACCGTGTTTTGCTTTCTTACTTTTTTGTACATGAACTCCGTCGGGAACCCGGTCCCGTTTTGTACCGGGTATTTTTATCGTCAATATAAATTAAGGTTTTGTCAAACTTCGTCTGTTCAGTTTTTGCATTTTTAATTAATTGCTTCTTGGTCGTCCCTTACCCGACCGATTGGCCCAACGACCTGGTCGTTCATGATCCAACCTATTGGCCTATTGGCCTCTTGAAGATTTGTTGGCCTTTTCGTTCGGGACTTACCCGACCATTTGGACTTATCACCCTAGCCCCCACACTATTGCGCACACGTGGCACGAGTGAGTGGGACAATGGAGAGAAGACAAGCGGATCAGGGATATCTTGATGTAGCTTTGCTTTCCCCGATCGATGGCGTGACCCGAGTGTCCGCCGACGATGAGCGTATTGAGCCGGTCGTTTGAATTCGTCCGGCTAAGATGTAGATGGCTATTAGAGCCACTTAGGTGTATACCCCTATCGGTCGGGACCGAGGGAGAGGTTTGTACCTTGATCAGTTGTAACTGAATTTGAACCCCGGTGTAATCGAGCAAGTTTAAGCGACTTTGTGGTCGTGGGGCTTGCGCCCCGCCCATTCGTTGATGCTGAGTTTCGGTCTGACTATGCACAAGCGAGACCACTTTCTGAAGCAGATCTTAGCTAACCTACCTCGCATTTAAATGATAAGAAAAAACCGATCGGGCCGTCGTGTACAAACGGTCAAGCAATCACCGATCGTAGATACATTAATAAATCTCGTACACAGACGGTTAAATATTTACAACATTTACAGAAGCAATTAACGATGAACGGGCCCACTTGCAGGTCGAGCCCCCACTCCATCTACAATTACATATCACAACTAATGTCTGAATAAAACAAGATTTTCCGAGTTCCACGTGCCCTCAATCAGTCTTCCGGTCGTTGTCTCCAACTGGTAAGTTCCCGGGCATACGTCGGCTACGACAACATACGGGCCTTCCCAGTTCTGAGCTAGCTTGCCCCCTTCCAACGGCTGGCTTGCCTCTCGACGCCGTAGAACATAGTCTCCCACTTGAAAATAGCGAGGGTTGACCCGGACGTCCTTTGAGCTCTTAACTCTCTTCTGATACTCGGCCATACGCTGAGCGGCAATCTCTCTCTTTTCTTCGACCCCGTCCAGATCCACGGCCATGGAATGTTCATTTTCGTCGGCATTGTAGGATCGCTCCCTGGAAGTCGGGATCCACGCCTCGATTGGTAACCGAGCTTCAGCACCGTAGACTAGGGCGAACGGTGTCTCCAACGTTGTTTCCCTCGGGGTCGTGCGATAAGTCCAGAGAACATAAGGGAGCTCATCTGCCCAACTTCGACCCGCCGAGTGCAACTTTTTCTTCAAACCCTCTAAGATTGTACGGTTAGCATTCTCAACTTGTCCATTTCCCTGGGGGTAAGCCACTGACGATCGGATGGAGGTTGTCCTGATCGTTGCAAGAAAATTCTAAAAGTACTGGCTTACGAACTGCCGGCCGTTGTCACTGATGAGATGAACGGGCACGCCGAACCGGGAAATAACGTTTCACCATAGAAACCAGGCGCACTGCTGGTAAGTGATCGTGGCTAATGGCTCGGCCTCGATCCACTTGGAGAAGTAATCTATGGCGATGATGACGAAACGTCTTCGACCGGACAGTTGCGGGAATGGTCCCAAAATATCCACCCCCATTGAGCAAAAGGAATTGCAGTCGTGACCGGCTGATAGAATGTGGCCGGTCGTCCAGGCATCCGTGCAAACAGCTGGCAGGTCTCTCACCCTCTTGCGAGCTTTTCACAGTCAAGCTGAATAGAGGGCCAATAATACCCGATCAGCATAATACGACGGGCTAGTGATCGGCCTCCTTTGTGCGACGAGCAGATGCCCGAGTGCAATTCCTTCATCACCAAATCTGCTTCAAACGAAGTCAAACAGCGCATTAGTGGGCCTCCATACTACCACCTATACAAACGGCCTTCTTGGACCTGAAATCTTAGAGCTCTGAGCTTGGCTTTCCGGGCGCGCTGAGGGTTGTCCGGCAGCCGACCGTGCTGGAGATATTCCATGAGATCTGATATCCAAGTTTCCTCCGCCGGTTGGATGGGTGCGACCCGCAATCGGTGGATGCTATGCCTTGGGATCATTAAAATCTGAG